TAAAACCATAAAAAAAAAAAAAAAAAAAAAAACAAAAACAAAAGGTATCCATATGTACATATATATGTGTATGCTTATATATATACACACTTCTATTGTGTTACGAATGCTTGTTTTCAAAAGGGTTTTAAAAAAAGGAGGGAAGAATGTAGGGACATGGAGAGGAAGTGGGGATGCGAGTGCGAAACGGTTGAGTGAAGAATCGAGTAGGAAAGGGCTGCATGAAGAAGGGAGTAAGACGTCGGTGAATGACGAGGTGCGTCAGAAACGACGAGATAATTCTGTGGATGGATTAGTCGCGCATAAATGGAGCCGCATCGATGCAGTGGATATAAGAGCAGGTGGTAGATACGTGAAGGTGGGGCTGGGCACGGGGCCCACAATGAGTATACAAATGCATAAACATATAAACATGCGCATGTACAGGTGGGCATATATATAAGACCCTGTATGCGCTTCAAGTACGCTTCATGCATTTTCTTCCTTTTAAAAAACACTTGTTGTGAGTGCCCTTGCACACGCACACAGCAAAGTGTACGCATAGGGTATGGGCACGGAGAAGGGCGCACGCAAAGATGGGTTTTGCCTCCCCGAGGGAGACTCTTTTTACGCGTGTACAGGAACGTAGGCGTACACGTTGATGCATTGCATTAATTCACGCACTTGCGCGTGTACGCGTGGAAGATTGTATGAATATGAGCATGTACAGAGGTAGAATGCCACAGCAGGGCAGGTGGCACATGCATAGAAATGGTACGGGTGGCACAAAAGCCGTGTGCTGCAGTGATGGAGTGCTGGTGTGCTCGCATCTGTCGCGTATATCGCCGCCTAACCATCCGCGGAGAACCCCATCAGTCGAAGGTGAAGTCCTTATTTAGCACCGCGTCGTCGTTGTTGGCGAACACATTGTTCAGAGTGATCTGCGTGTTGTTTATTTCGTTGTTAATGATGAAGGGGAAATACTTGTACAATATTTTCCAAGCCTTGTTGCAAATGTTATCCACCTTTCTATCCTGTAGAGCATCTATTTTGTGGACGCTGTCGCATTCTTCGAAAAAATGAACATACGGATTGGCAGGTAGGTTATCTCTTAACTTTTTATTTTCTCCCATTTCGAGGATGTTTTCAAGTCCTTCCAAAGTGACAGAAATGATGTTTGCATCTTCTACATCCAGTAGGTTAGACAACGAGTGTATGGCCCCACATTCTACAAGGTATTCTATTTGGGACTCGGATCCCCCAGAAGAAGCATTCGATATTGCCCACGCAGCTTCTTTCCTCACCTCAAAATCTTCCTTCATTAAAATATTTATAAGTTGGGGAATAACATTATTATCAATTACTGCCTGTATTTGGGAAATATTCCCTGCAGTAATGTTAGATAACGCCCAACAGGCTTCTTTTTTTATACTTTTTTTTGAAGAATTAAGTAAGCAGGACAATTTTTGCACGGCACCAAGTTTAACAACGACATCCGTTTGGAGGTCATCCCCTGTGACGATATTTCCAACGGTTCTCAATGCAGGGGTTTGGACTAAAAAGGAGCAGTGGCTTAGCAACTCGACTACTCGTTCCGCTACTCCAGCATCCAGCACAGCATTGATATTTTCATTGGAGCCATCCGATAAGTAGGACAGAGTCCAACAAGCATCTGTTAATATTTCTTCATCATCGTTGTATATTAATGCAGCTAGGGTTGGTAACGCCTTGGAAACTATTTCAAATTTGGGAGCTGGTTTGCCTCTACACAAATTCGACAGTGTCCAAGCGGCATTCCTTATTAATGTTCTCTTATGGCTTGTTCTTAGAATTTTTAAAAGTAAAGGTAAAGAATTTTGATTAAGGACGAACTCTCTACATTCGGCTGAATCGCCTGCAATGTTCCCCAACGCCCACACGGCTTGTTCACACACATCTTCCTTTTCGCTATTTAATAGTCTAACAAGATGGGGAACAGCATTATTTTCAATTACAACTTTGGTCTGTTCTTGTGAACCTGAAGCGATGTTTGTCAACACCCACGCGGCTTCAAATTGTAAATCGGTTTTATCATCATACTTTAGAAATTCCACTATGTATGGAACTACGCCTGAATTTATTACTTCCTGTATAGGGGGTCCTTTCTCAATGGACAGTAACTTCCTTAACTCTCTTGTGCTGTTTAATTGGGTTACATATTCAGATGACCTTACCCCTATCGCTAAGGAGGGAATCTTCTTTAACATTTCGATGGTACTGGAACTATTGTTCGATGCAGCATTGTATACCGAATCATTGGTGGAGTCATTTTGATTGGATTTTAAATAATTAACATTATATGAGGAGTTTTCTTCGAGTCCTATGTTGGCCATTATCATGGCTCTTTTACTTTCTAGCTGACATTCTCTCTGTTGCTTTCTTATTTGGACCACCAAGTCTTCTCTTTTTCTCCTGGTGTCATCGCAATTCTTCTTAAATTCTTTTCTCCTCGCTTCAATTCGTCTATCCATTTTGACGTTCCTTTTTTTTTTTTTTTCTTGCTAACTTGTTGGATTATTTTTTCAATTGAGGGAAATTACATAAAAGAAAAAAAAAAAAGAAAAAAAAAAGCGTAAGATGTAACGCTACTCAGTAAAAATCTTCTTCAAATATTGGAAGGGAGCTGCAAAGGGGTGGTGGTGGTTATGGTTTTATCGTTTGCGAGTTGTCCATTAAAAGGGGTCACGTAAGTTAAGCGGCAAGCCTTAAAATTGCTATGTACAATCGCGCTCAACCATTTGACAAAGTGTTACATAAGCATGATACCTGCTTCGTACTTGTGTCCATATATATACATATAATATGTACACCCCTGTGTGGTGTAAATAAACCCCTCGGGGGATGAACACTTGGCTGAATGCACAAACAGGTACACACGCACGCGTATACATGTCCACGCAAGTGTTTCACAAATGTGTGGGAAGTGTGTTTTTTTCCCCTTATGAAAATGCGCAGCGCTTCATGTACACGTGGGGAAAAAAGGAAGAAGGGAGGGGGGGAGTACTCATCGTGTATACATGCGCCAGTACAACCATGGGCGAAGCTACACGTGACACGTGGGCATGCAAGCTTCCTTACCTAATTAATAAAATGACAAAACATATTCTTGTTTACAAGAAGTCCCTTACTGAGTTTAGGGAAAAATGTGTTTTTTTCTTTAAAACGTAAGAAAGCCTCTTCCAGGGTTTTTTCCCTTCCTGCTACATAGCCACGTGCGGATGTACATGGATACGTATGTACATGTACCTTTTATATATGTACGCATAGGTACGGATATATTTGTACAAACATGTGAAACGTGAAGAGGAAATGGAAAGAGCGCTTTAAAAAGTTAATATGGTTCATGTCCTCACTTCCTTATTCCTACTGGCCCTGCCATCTCTTTCGCATCACATTCGCATCCCTTTCACATCACTTTCGCATTGTTATCGCATCGCTATCGCAATGGATATTGATTTGCTTTTTTTTTTAAATGGTGCTTCCCTCATTTGCTTATTTTGACGTAGAAAAATTTCTTCGCGCAGATCACATACATGGGCCATATCTGCTACGATTTTAAGTGCCCAAACGGAATTTATTTATGCGAAATTTTACGTTGGAGTTTGCGAGTAGTGCGGAAGGTTCGCCACCTCGCTTCCGCGCAAGGACACGTCGGCCGTGTATGCGTGCGTATGTACATAGTTACCTATACCGTATGCATAACGGGTAAACCCTACGTGTATACATATACACGTATGCGTCCTTATACACCTCCACAGTCCCTTTCAACAATCCTTCATGCGCAGCCATCTTTTCACATATATGGAAATATATAGGTAAAATGCTCACATGTTTACCTTTCCCACGTTTCATCATATTTTATTTTTATGTCGTTTGGCATTTGCAAGAGGGTTTTGTTCGGTTTTGCGTCACTCCGCTTAACTGGGCGTAGCTCTGCCATCCCTTGCTGTGCCCATTTTGCTCATTTGTTCCCCCTTCACATTATGCGGAACGGAACAGTTATGTGAACGCAAAAAGCTGTGGAAGGGGGGAGCCGCCATGGAAGAAATAAGGCAACCCCCCATTTGCCATTTGTGCATATAAATCCCAATATGTATAGAACTAAAGGGAAAATAATAAATCGGCATTTTTCTCTTTTTCGAAGCATGTCATTTACAACAAAGGTTGAAAGGGGAAAGAGTGAACAGATAATGTAAGCAGAATCTCCCAACCCCTTTCCCTTTTTTTCTTTTTTTTTTTTTGCGTTAAAACTTTCTACGAAAAAATATATACACCGTCCATTTGGGGGTTGCCATCCTGGCGATGCCCCAGAGTTACATGAACAAGTGCACAGCATGGACGCAGTGTGCAAGTATGTCTCTATGTGTACGTGGCTTTAATATGTTATAAAGAGTATACGTAAAGCATGAGGAAGTATTACGAATTGAATGAATGTCGTTTTGGAAAATTGCTTCATTGGTTGGATGAAGAAGGTTCTAACATGTTGCACTTTCGTATTTCCCCCTGCCTCCCCAAAGGGGTTAAATGCATAAAACGCATGATCCGAATTTGCGTCCTGACATATGGCCCATTTGCACCACTACGATGTGTTTTAAAAGAGACCACACACAAGTGTCTTATCGTGCGTGCATGGTTCAACTGGGGGCAAAGGGGCAAGGCAAACAAGGGCATAGAAATGTGCCGATAGAATACTCTTTTATAAAGTACAGATCATGACGGTGTAAAGGTGTGCGTTGTACCTACAAATGGAACACATGAGCAATGTGCTCTCACGTCCATGTCACCCGTCAAGTGTGCGGGTATAACTAGAAAGAGATTTCACCAGGTTGCGAAAAATTCGTTCCTCCGTAAGTTGCTTCAAATTTGCTAATTTTTTTTCGCGTCTACCAATTTATGCATAAGTCTTATCAGCGCACACCTCTGGGTGAACAGACGCTAAACAAGAGACATAGTAAGGGGCGTGCAACGTTGGATGGTGAAAGGAAGGCAAAATATATACAAAACGCACTTTTTAAACACATCAAATAAATGAGAAAAGAGTGAAAAAAAAAAAATGTAATTCAAAGTGAAAGTTTAAGTGTTGTAGTGCGTTCGGTAAGCGAAGTAGTGCATATGTGAAGAGGGGGGCGGGGCGCAACGGCAGTCAACCTTTTTGCTACCCAGCTGTTCCCCATTTCTGTGTCATCTTTGTTCCTTCTTTGCCTTTTTGTTTCCACACTGGTAAGGAACCCCCCATCGGCTTGATACGAATCTTCTGCATTATGCCATCCGGTATATGAACCAATAGTAGGCAGGATCTCTCTGTTTCTGCGGTCAATTCGGAAAACATCTGCTTCGTCCCCTTGAGTGGTATGATCATTTAAGATGGATGAAGATCATTTTGGTACACAGATTTATGCTGGCATCGGGAAAATGGAAAGCAGACCAAAAAATTTTTAAATATACTTTGGACGCATTTCCCGTTGAGATCGAATCGAGACAAGCAACTATGTACATTCACTTCCGGGGGAGGGTGCGTCCCAAAGAGGCCCATAAAAAGATAGACTTAAATGCGCACGTCTAACATGAGAGCGTGTATACATATTTTTGCACACTCATATATATGCTACATGGGGTATATAGGCATGTGCACATTTAAACATATCATGGCATGCTTGTGTTAATTTAAAAAATCGAGAAATATTTCCGTAATACATAACATCAGATATTTATGAAGCATCTATTGAGCGCTCCGCGTTGTTGCGCATTAACCACTCCATCTTTTTATTCGTTCTAAATTAATCCTTTATTTTTTAAATTCAGAAATTGTGCGCAGTAATTGGTGTGTCACATGTCATACGTTGTGATTAAACAAACAGGAGAAGGAGAAAATGGGCATATATATATGTAGGGGTGTCTGCGATACGTTCATGTGCAAGACACACGTGTATATTGGTACACGGATGTACTGGAATAGTTAACGATGACGGTGGTGTGGGGGCCCCCTTGGAAACCACCCCCCCTTGGTATACATGCCTTCACAGCAGCGCTCGTTGCCCAAAGAATTAGAGGTAACGTGTTTCATATACCTGGACTGGATAACACCTTTTCATGAATAAACCAAATTAGAAGATTCCGCTTAGGCGGCGTAGGAGTTGTTTTTATTCTCCTTCTTATTTTAATAGGAAATTTTCGCGTTGATAACGGAGTCAATATGTTTTTCGTAGTCACCATCTGCATAATTTTTCTTCTTCTTGTCCTTTTTTTTATCCTTTGACGAAAATTTTTCCTTCTTTTGCTTCTTGCTCTTGGACGCATATTTAGCAGAACTGTTATTATTTACGTCGGAGAACGATTTCGATCTTCGTTTTTTGTTGCCCTTATTTTTTTTGTCTTGGTTTGTATTGGGAAAGGTGTTATGAGGATCATCTTCTTTTCCGTCCGCATATTTCCCCTTCTTACTTTTGTAGTTGTAACTTCTTTTGTCATTCGGGAGATCTCTGCTATCGTCCCCTTTGTTTTTTCGATCATACGATCTGTCACGTTTTCCTTTGTCGTGGTCACCATATTTGTAATCATCTTTTTGTCTCAATTTGATGTCTTTGTAGTAGTTTTTATCATCCCGTTTGTCGTCCTGCTTATCGTACCACTTTTTGTCCTCCTTCTTGCTGTAATATCTGGAGCTCTTCTGGGCATCCTCGTCATTCTCATGATCGTACATTTTATCCTTATACTTAGCATAGCTCTTTTCGTCCTTGTAGCTCACGCCATAAGCTTTGCTGTCCTTATTATACCACTTACTATCATCCCGCTCGTTCGTTGCGTACTTGGTATAATTTGTCTTGTTATAGTAATCCTCGTTTTTAACGCCATATTTTTTCTTGTCTCCCTTGTAATCGTAAGAGGCGCTTCTGTCGTACTTTCGGTAATCATCAGTCTTGTAATTAGTCCATTTTTTGTCCGCATCGTAATACTTCTTATCCTGGTCGTAAAAATCCTTTCGCTCATACTCCGGGTTGAAAATTTTGTCATGCCTGTCGAAATCTTTTGGGTAGTCGTTCTTATACCTCTCATGGTCCTCGCCGCCTGGATACCCTTTAGGCCTTTTATTGTAGGAGCCGTTATAGTAGCCATTATTATACGCGTAATTGTCGTTTCCTCGTTTTTCGTAATCACCAGGTGCCCCATCGTACTGTCCGTATTTTCGTTTTTTATCATAGTAATAATCATTGTTATATCCATCACGTTTGAAGTATCCCTTGTTTTCTTCCTTATGGTTTGGCCGCACAGAATAGGACGGTAATCTGTTCGTTTTTCCCTGCATTTTGTAATTATAACTGGAATGCCGTTCATCATAGGCAGCTCCCCTTTCGTTATCGTACTTGTTATAATGGCTATGTTCACCATGTCCCGATGTAGGGGCACCTCTATCGTTCATTTTCCCCCCGCTTCTTAGCAGAGGGTCATATGCATTGTTATAATTTGAGTATCCTCCTTGCCCATGACGATGCCTTGGGTAGTTATACTCATCATGTTGGCCTCCTTTGGGAAATTTTTCCATCGATTTACTTACATATTTTCTATTTTCACTTTTTCGAGAATCTCTCTTATCTAGTCTCTTTTTACGCAAAATGTCCGAGGAGTGACTATGTTGTCTTTTGTACCGACTGGTGAAGTCGTCATTTCGGTGGCCCACAGCACCTTTGGGAGAATAATTCCGTTTGTTGAACATGCTGTTCTTTCTTACTCTACCATAGGAGCTATACTTATCATAGTAACTGCTGTTATAATTGTTTCGAGGGAAGAGGCTCTTCCCGTAGGGGGCATTGTAACTATTATTATATCTGTATTTGTACGAATACCTTCTGAAGGGGTGTTGGCTGGAATAGTTATTATGAGTGTCTTTGTAGTACTTAGAGGGGTTGTACTTTTTTCCGTTAGTGTTGTCGTACTTGGCGCTCCCCGCAGCATTGTTGTTCGTGCTGTCTTTCGGGTCATCTGTTTTTTCCTCCTTATTGGAATAATTTTCATATTCCTTTGTGTTGTTATCACTTTCGTATTTGAAGACCCGAATGCTATCTTCTTCCTGGTCGTTCGGTTCTTCGTCGGCCGTTCCGTCAGCAGTTTCATCGGCAGCTCCATTGGCAGCTCCTTTCCCCCTCCTCTTCCTTTTGGTGTCCTCTTGGTCCAATTTCCTCTTTTTAATATTGTCCAGGACAGCTTCATTTTCGATTTTCCAGTTTTTTATTTCTCCCTTATATTTCGCTAAAGATTGGCAGAAATCCACGTGTATTCTTCGGTCGTCAATGATGACGTTATCCATTTCGAAGTAGGCATTTAGGCAGTCTTCTTTTTTTTCAAATTCAATAAAGGCGTACTGGAGCGAGTTGTTCGTTACCTTATCTTTTACAATATTACACGATATTATCGGTCCGAATCTGGAGAAAATAGTTTTTAAATCTTCTTCTTCCGTTACGGGATTGAGCTTACAAACGAATAGAACATTTTCTGGGGGCTTTAAATCAGCATCTGGGATATCTCCCAAGATTTCCAGAGTTAGTGCGCTTGCTTTGGCATCCTTATCCTTTAACTCTTCTTCAACCTCTAATTCCTTCTTCAGTTCCTGGTTTTCTTCGTCCTTGTCCGCTTCGTCGTTGGTCCCGTGTGTTTCATCTGCCTCATTCGCTTCGTCCTTCTTGTCGTTTTCTTCCTTCTCATCTGCGGCCGCCTTTTTGCCCTTCCTGGCGCCGCCCTTTTTACTCTTCGGCTCTTTCTTACCCTTTTTGCCTTTCTTATCTTCCTCTTCCTTCTTTTCTTCTTTCTCTTCCTCTTCTTCCTTCTCTTCCTCCTCTTCCTTCTGTCCCTTCTTCGTTTTCCTAACAGTTCTTCTTGTCCTCTTATTTTTTGCTTTACTATCTACCGATTTTTCCTCATTGTCCACTTCTTCCTTAGCTTTATCATCGTCGGTTGGTCCTTTGTTGTCATTGTTCTCCTCATCTGGTTTTTCCTCGACGGATTGGTCCTCCTCCTTTTTTTTTTTTATGAGGCCGAATGAAAACATATCTTCTCACAGAAAAGTCTTCGCGCATCCGTTCGCCTCTCCGTTGGTGGGGCGTTAGTTTTTGCGCTTCCGTTAGAGGCGTTTTCCTTTGCGATTAGCAATCTTCCTCCCCCTTATTCTGCTATATTTTGAGCCACTTTTTTAGTTATTCTTCTTTTGATTATACCCACTTTGTCAGTCACACTTCTTTCGCTTACGCCCACTTTTCCCTTTCCCCTTCCTTTTTTTTTTCCTTTGCTTCTATGCCGTCCCCGCTTCGTCCCTTGGGTTAAATCTCTTCTGTTAAGAATATATTCACACAGATTCCTGTTCTTACAAATTTGCATCATACATTTTGCCTTTTTAAACTGAAACTACCTAAGGTTATGTCAGTATGCTGCCCTTCGAAAAAACGCAAAATGAAACAAAGAAAACTTAAAAATGGTCAAGAACTAGCATAGATTCTTTAAAAATGTGGCACAAAATGGTATATCATAGGGTACGCATTATTATATGCATGTACGTACATATATACATACATGTTACAAAGGGAAGGTGTTCTTTTTTTTTCTCTCTTTAATAATGACAGCATATATATGAAAAAAAAAAAAGAAAAGGGTGGGTAAACAATATATATTGAAATTATGCTTTGCTAAGGTGGAGCGGGTTCTTTTTTGCTATCACTAACAAAAAAATATATATTTTTTTTTTTTCTACCCGCTTGCATATAAGGTGATACTTTTTTTTACCATTAGAGGCTCGTACGCACCCACCATAGAGTATACTACTGCACTGCTAACTGCGTACATGGCATATGTTTGAAGCGCCTTTTGCTATTCATTTATGTGTAAACGTATGGCGTTCATATGGCGCACATGTGGCTCACATATGGTTATATGATGGATTGTGTTGAACTGCCCCCTTTTATTCATCAAATCGGGCTCCTCCTGCTGCTTCGGCCGTGTTGACCTTTACTATTATATTATTCTCTTTCTTTTTCAATTTGTGCCATTGACACTTTGGTCCGGATCATTTGGGTTTTCCTCTTCTCAAAGAAGCTCGTTGTGGTAAGCGGCTCGGTGACACTTTGTTCTTGTAACAAGTGGGGAAGAATTATTTCGTCGCGCCAGCGAAGGTACATGAGTACATGCCTGCGTGCCTACATATCTATGCGGAGGTATGTGTAGCACTCCTCTTCCTTGTCAAAAAAATAAGGATCTATTTTTCCCCTTATTCTTTACATTTTGCTGTTTTTTTTTTTAATCATTTCCTGAGGATGTAAACAGCATCATGTGCATGTAAGCAAGAATATGACGCACGGACGCGTAGGTTATTTTTATGGGTGTTGCATTTTGTTTGTGCCCCTTCCAATGGAGGGTTATGCAAAAGGCTTAAATACTCCTGTACATATACCCATATAGTAAGGCAATGTATGTGTTGGTAACACCTGCTGAGCGACCGAGGATGGGGTGAACGTTTACGAAAAAATGACAAACCTTTATTTTACAAAATTTACTCCTCCACATGCCGTATTTCAAAAAGGAATATTTTATGACGTGTAAAAGATAATTTTTTTTGATATTATTTTCCCATTTTCGAGGGCATGCAAAAACACTGCATGTTGGGTGGGGGGAGTAATCGTTTTCCAATCGGTCTGTTTGCGTAGACAGCATTGTATATGTGCAAAACATGCCTCTCATTTTCCCGGTTGCATAAATTGGCCTACGTTGCGCGACTGAAGAGAGGCAGAACATGAGTTTAAAATACTCACGTATAAATAGGTATACATTACGTATATGTGCACACCTGACAACTTTACTTTACGCCCTCCCCCCCGAGGTGTAGGCACAGTAAAGCATAAACTTACCTCCAACAGTCATGCGCTCCGCATTTCTACGACAATATTTGTGCCTGTCTGTTTACGTAAAGAACGCGAAGGCGCATTTTCCACAGAATGTGACCCAAATGACAGTGCCATACGGCGCACATATGAGTACATTCCTTTAATAATTCATGTGCAAATTTTGAAGGGCTAAATTCATAGTTACAAATACGAATTTTTTTCACGAATCGTGTGCACGTAAATATACGTCTATGGATCTACACATATAACGCATATTATATCATATACGTTTCTGTCCAAAAGCTTGGAGGATCTTTTCCACCTTTGACAGTTTTAACAGGCACAAAAAAATGGCAAAGCATATACATGCGGCGCATACGTCTCTATGCACAAATGGGTGGGAGTACATGTAGGTGTACAACACACATGCTATAAATGCATCACAATTTAAAAAAAAAAAAGAAAAGAAAAAAACATTTTCCTCATATGCGTGTGACTTATAAAATGCAAAACACACTAAAAGGGGGGAAAATAAATGAAAAAGTATGCATTTCATAACACTTTAGAAAATTTTATAAAACAATTACAAAAATTTGCATAAGGAACTGAAAAAAAATACTGAGTTAATTATGAGGGAACAAAAAAAAAAAAAAAAAAAAAAAAAAAAAAAAGAAAAAAAGAAAAAGAGGGGGAGGGCAATAAACTGGGGTTTTGCGTCGGGATGGCATTTTGCCTTTAACAGTGAAGCTTTTGCTACGTCTCCATAGCGTTTCTGTTAGGTCTTTATCACTTTCTCGCCACCTCTACATCTCATCCTCTTCACTTTCCGAAGGAAGCGCCAAATGTGCCCACAGACAGACTCGTCAAAATACCCCCTCCTCGCGCACAGCCCACGCTTATAAGCAACACACGATTTTTCAAAAAAAAAAAAACACATACTCTTCTAATTATGTACGCATAAAAAAAAAATGCGGCTCAACAGGAGAATGCCGAATGCACCGTGCGATCGGCAATTCGCAACCTGCAATATGCAATCTGGAATCTGCGAAGTGGAAGGAACACACCACTAAATCGGGTCTGCATCAAATGGGAAACAAAGGTGCGGTGTGCAAATACACCTTCTTGTGTGTACGTGACGAATGGACGCCTCCCCCCCCGCCCCCATTTAAGCCTTGGTGTCTTCCTCTTCCTGCACCTTGTGATCGATAAAACTGATGGAATCCTTGACGCAGTTCTTAATTCTTCGGTTATACTCAATTCTGTTCTCCACGAAGAGGAGGGCAGCTTCCTGATTGGCTGGGCTGTTCGGGTTCGGATCACTCAATAGGGATTGAATGGAAGTCAGTATTGCAGAAATGTCATAAATAGGACTCCACTGCTTTTGGAGAATGTCAATACATATGTTTCCGTCCATGTATATATTTGGGTGAAACATTTTGGTCAAAAATTTGACTTTGGGAGGTTTGTTTGGGTATTCATTTCCAAATAAAAGTTCCAACTGAAAGGTGCCTACAGGAAGGGGGTGAACAGAAGGAGCACATTTACAAGATCATGCTGTAGAGAAGGTCTTTTTGGAGGCAATCGATGGGAGCGACCTATTGATGGCGCTCTTAACACTGGCGTTATTTCCCTTTTCGGTAATTAACACATCATTTGGGGAAGTATCCCCCTTTTTAGTGTTCCCCTGTCCGTGCTCTCAAACTTAACACGTAACAAATTAGTGGAGCTTTCGATTCTCTACAAGGGGTTATTCCTTCCACTTGTTTTGCATAATCCCCAGGGGGAGGATGATACACTGTTCCGCCTTAGCCTTTATTACCTCCCTCCCAAGGGGTGTCTGCTGGGCCGAAAATAACCGCCCGCCATTTCATAATATCATTCCCTATTGGGGAGCCGCTAACTCCGTAAGGTGAATCAGCTTGCAATTTTCTAAAGTCCCGAATTAATCTCTTTTTCGCCAAATTAGACATCTTCCTAGAGGTATGCAAATCAAGCTAAACCTAAATGGGTAATATTAGGAGCGCATATATTTGTGCAAGCCACCTAGGACATGTCTCCGTACACATGGGTATATATCTGTAGATTTACATATGTCCATCTGTGTTCATTTCATCACGCTGGAAAAAACTGGACGAGCTTCCTCACAGCTGAGCAGTTGAGAGGCATGCCGACATCCCTATACGGTACGACAGTTAAGCGATTTTTTAACCGGTACAGTTGGGATTTCCTCATATGGGCAAGCATTACCGGAGCACGCGGATGCCCTACGTTTCTTTGCGTGTGCGTGTGTGTTGGTAGGACGGTTCGAAACATGTGCACATAGGCTATCCACTGATTATGAGCAAACGTGAGGGGTTAAATGAGATGTTCCTTTATATGTGTCAATTTCTTGATAGAATGGGAGGATTTCTCTTTATAAGTATGGAAAATTGGAAGGGGACGTAACGTAAAAATGGGCTTCTTCACTTGTACAAGCTTAGAACTTTCTATAAACATTATTTGCTGTTTTTTTCCCCCCTTCGTGTGAATATCGTGAAAATGCGAAATATTTATGTGCATAGTTGTTATCCCGAAATGTCAATGCGAGTAAAGGCAATTTTGACATTCCGCTCAACTAGTGGAGATGCCAAAAAGAAAAAAAAAAAAAAGAAAAAAAAAAAGGTAAATTTTTTGCAGCTTTGCCAACTTCATAAAGGAAAAATGCGTGTTTAATATAACCCGCCTTCTCCCAAGCTGCATATAAATCGTTATTAAAAATTTACACGAGCGTTTTCACCCGTTTGGCATTTTCCCGTATTCATAAATTTCATGTTATTAAAATATGATGTACATTTGGGAGGATACATTTATATCTTGACCTTTTTTGATGCCTATCTTTCCCTGAGGAGGTGAAACGCATGTAGGTATTTTTTACTTACATACGAACGTTCATTTGTGCTAATTTTTTTGACTTCGCAATTTCTGAATTTTGTGCTCCTGCCTAGGGCGGGGAGCAATGGTGGTGGTATAAAATATACTTTTCCTATCGCGCGCTTAATTTTTCCATTTTGCCTTTTTGCACGGCGCGGAGCACGTCGCTTCAGTTGGGCCATCAACTCGTCGTTTTTTCCAGTGTTCTTTTTTAACTTTTCTTTTCAATCCTGTTTGTCCCCTTTTGACATTTTTTTGACACTTTTTTGACATTTTTAACGCGTTAAATAATACCCTTCTTTTCATTGCCGCAGAAAACCTGGAGGGAAAAAAAAAGTAAAAGTTTACTTAATCACGCCTAAGAGCTAAGAGCTTCGTATGGTTGAATACATTTTTCTATCCATACAGCGTAGATATGAGTATGAGCAGCTCTGGAAAATATAAAGGTATGAACGTAATAACGTATGAACGCGATAGGTGAAGAAACAAGGCAGAGGTCACCTTCTCGCCGCGCTCACGTAGCATGAGAAGTCACCGTGTTACGCACGTAGGGACTAACTTTTTTTTGTAGATTCGTATTCCCACGGAAGTTAGCCCAATTTGTCCTAATATTAGGGTTATTCGTCCCATACATAATTATATGCGCATATTTTGTGCATGACACTAACTCTGTATGCACAAAATTGACACCAGAAGCATAACCAGGAGGTTTTTCCCCCCACCAGAGGGCAAATCTTTATGAAGCACAATTGAACTGTATAGCAGAGCAAGAAAAAAAAGAGTCACTTGTGAGGTTTTTAACTGAGAGACACCAAAAAAGGGCAAAAAACATAAAAGTTGCCACAAACATTAATGACACATATGATAGGCTGTAAGAGAAAAAAACGCAGGTGAACACTTATTTTTCGAAAAAGCCAACCAGTTGACTATCCAATAAAGACAGGGATAGCAATTAGTGAGCTGTAAAAATACCTGCGTGAGGAAGAGTAATACATGCGTGCGGTGTAGAATTGCCCCCCCGTTTGAGGAGCGTACCGATAGAAAACTACATTTTGAAAGTGGCTTGATTTGTCTTCCCTTCCTCCACCCTGCTGAGAGATCATGCCGAAGTACTACTGTGAATATTGCGACATCCACCTAACGCACAGCTCCCCAGTGGGGCGCAGACAGCACATCCAAGGGAGAAAACACATAAGTGCAAAAATTGAATATTTCCAAAATTTGCTAAGGGAAGAAGGCATAACCCCACAGAACTTCTTAGGGTTTCTAGGAACCAGGGCATTGAATAATTTGCTAGGAAACCCAATGATGAATAATATGATCCCAGGAAATTTCCCCATGCACATGAAATATAACAATATGAAGCCTCACTCACATTATTCGCGTCATTCACATCGGCATCATATGTCCCATGGTAGATACTCCAGGGAAAGACATGGCCATCACAGTTACTCTAGTAAATATCACTCGCACCCTATGCGCGTGAATAGCAGCAGCATGGGTGGCATGTCAGGGTTTCAAAACAGTAAACATTCTGGTAGCTTTGTCCCCTCACCAAACTCTATGCATGGTAATGGGAAGATGTTTAATTATCCCATTCGAGATTTGGTAAGTAATGTCAATAATGACATTGACCCAAGTAAGGACAGTCAGAATGAGGAACGAATTGGAGATAATTCGATTGACAACCCTCATAGCAGAATACAGGATCGGCACGATCAGCGAGATCATGCCAATCGCGCCGATCATGCGGATCAGACCGATAAGGATGATAATGCCGATCCGGTCCATGCCACTCGTTGAATTGTGAATAAGAATGATAAGGTGAGTGTGGATGACTCGACGAGGGGATCATCTGCGTGATGAGGGAAATGCTGGCTAAATGTCGAAGGTAAATACAGCGTTTAAGCCCAAACATTAACAGGTCAGCCGCATTGAGTTTCCCATTTTGAGGGTGAACCCAAACGATCACTAGCATACATTTGTGACATAAAGAGGCATGTAGAGTAAGATTAAGAAGGATCTTTCCACCACGGTTCACTTCGTAAACTGAAAGAAAATTCATGAGTGACGGATGAAGTTCACTAACCGTTGCGAGTTCGCATTTTTGTAATTTCGTATAAGGTTAATTCATCCATCATTCAGCTCCTCCGTATGTAGATCTTTACTTTTTTTTTACCTTCATTGTTATATGTCATTTTCCGAAATTTTTTGCTCCACCCGCTTTTTTTTTTTTTTTCCTTTTTTTTGTTTATTTGTACAAAATGGTAAAACAAATTTTAACTCTGTAATTTAAAAAAAAAGAAGAAAGAGAATTCATAAGAAGTAGGACAACTCCCCCACCGGTGTGTACACATCTATGCCAACTGAGATATTTTAGTGCTACCTCATTGAGAGTAATCCTATTTATTCAAGTCTCTCCCCCCATGCAGTTACGTTTAATCCCCCTGTAGTGGGCAACTCCCCCGCGATGCTGTCAAATTGTTCGTTCTTATAAAAATTGGTCCACGTCATCCCACCTCGGACAGGACAAGCGCTGTGCGATTATAGCTCCATTGTATTGCCACTTTGGTGTCTACTCTTTTGTCTCATTATTGCGTTGCGTTGGTCCCCCTATCTCGCATGAAGAAAATGTACAAATATATACACACATGTGTAAGCACATTTGCGCATTTGTGCATTTGTGCGAGGGCACATCGAACAGAAGGAGGAGGTTCTGCGCGAGGCACCTTAAAAAATGTAGGAACGTTGCTCAGGAAACGTGCCTACCCAAAATATGAATTAAAATCAACGGGGATGAATGAAGGAGGGGTGAACAGGGGTGTAGAAGCACATACGCGTGTGTTGTGTATATGTACAGGGTAGGGACACGGTCGAAATATCAAAGGATTTACAAAATTGCCACTACTTTACAACAAAAGTATGCGTAACTGGTTCTACGTCACAGGGGCAGAAACGAAAAAAAAAAGGGAAGACAAGACAAGGGCAAAGATATCAGAAGCAATCTTCGTACGCATGCTTCGCGTGCTTCTTCTCATGGTGTTCCTTCAGGATGGACGGGTTAACTGTACACATAAAAGTGTGTCTACATAATTTACAAATCACGTTCAAGTTCTTCGAGGCATCTTTAACAGTGCTGTTCTGTTTTGCCTTGTCATTTCGTTTAGACGACCTGATTCTGTCCACTTCGCGTTGGTTGCCTCTCGTCATTTTGGACTTCGCAGGTTCGGATGCGCGGTTCTCGGTTAGCAAAGTCCTCTTGGCAAAGTCCTCTTGGCACTGTACAATTAGCAGAGTCCACTTCGCAGGGCGAACATTCCGAGAGTGTCTTTCCCTATCCGGAATTCCCTGCGCGGCGTACGCATATAAGCAAATGGTTTAAGTCTGCTCATAGGTATACGTACATATGAACATTGATAAACATTATGATCACCCTCACGGGCGCAGGAAGATAGAAACTGTGTTCCGCACAGCTCACCTAGCAATATGCGATGTCATCAAACGGGGAAGAGTTATTAAATCGTCGCCCTCAGAAAAAAAAAATGCCAAATTGTAAAGGAAAGAAGTCAATTAAGGAAGCGCAAAAAGGTTCACTCTTTTAACGTGATTATTAACACATAAAAATAACACATCCAGCAATGATAAAAAATTAAAGGCAAGAAAGAAAAAAAAAAAGCCAAAGAGGGATAAAACTGTGTCATTAATTCTTTAAAAAAATATATTTGCATAATCATTCAGTTCGCTAGTGTATACCTTGTAATAGCTGCCATTTAAGTTCTCCTGTTAACTTTATTTTCGCGCAAAATTTCTGAACCCTTTTTAAAAGCACAACTAGCATTTAGCCTTTGCAAAGTGGAAAAAATTGAATTTGGCAAATTAGGTAACACTAAAGTGAATTATTGAGCGAAGGAATTTTTTTTTTTCAAATTCTATTCCGCTAGGGCCCCCCATTTACATGTATTCTATTCAACTTTGCGTTACGCAGTGAACGACAGCAGGTTCAGCAAAGAACACGCACAGGTGTACGAAAGAGTGAACCAGACGAATCGGGGCGATCATGACAGCCGCAGTGACAGCGATAACGATAACGAAAGTGACTCCTTTTGGTAAGTCAAAAAATCGTGGCGGTCATTCCCTATCGAGTGAAATTCAGAGAGTGCCACAGACCTAAAGGCTATGTCAGAGGAGCCTGATGATGTGCCAACTGCTAAGCCCATGTGCACGAAGAGAAGTGGTACACAGCGGGGGAGCATTTCTCGGGAACCATAATGGTTTATACAAAAACGCAAGTTAAACGTGGCATGGTAGGATGGATAACACAACAGTTGATCGAATGGATGGGCCAATAAAAGAAGCCGATAAGTGACAAGCTGCGAAGCTTCGTCCATTCTGGCATTTCTGAGAGGAGGTCAATTTTGTTTATCCCCCTTGAGCGTAGCGTAACGGTTCAATGCTATACGTGTTTGGTGATAGCAGTAAGGGGTAAGGCCAAATATAAATATAATGAGGGTTCGTTCTCCCAGTAAACCTTCATAAAATGTTTATGCGTCATTTGGTATAACAGGGATTATCTTTTTTTTTTCTCTCTTACTTGACATATATTCCGCTCCCCCTCCTGTCTCATAGCAAATGAAACCACCCCTACACCTCGTTGTAGTCATGTTGGAAAATGCC